CACACACACACACACACACACACACACACACACACACACACACACACACAGAGAGAGAGAGAGAGAGAGAGAGAGTTCTCCCTACTTGCCTACCCAAGGATCTATGAAGCAGCTGATTGCATTATTGCATTGGCTAATGACCTGCCCCCCAGAAAAATTCTCAAATGACATTAAAGCCAGAACCCTTGTGAGCTCCCAGAGTTGACTGCATAACCTAAGTGTTTTGTTGCTGGGCAACCGAAGGTGGAGATAAAGCTGACCTTTGCCTACCAGTCCTGGGTACCCTGTTCGTTCTGGCAGGGCCTGAGCCTTGTATCGTTGATATGGTGGAGTGGGGTCCAAGCCCTTAGGTGTGACTGGTAAGCTGAATGAGACCATTAGGGGGTGGAACCTTCCGTCAGCAGGGGAATCAGGCTATGTGGTTTGACCTCCAGACAGGCAGGACTGTCCAGAAAGGGGGCCAAAGGCACATTGTTGGATGGATACATGAGACAAAACCCAATCTATTGGTGACACCTACTGGTGTCATCTATTGGTGACAGCTTTCAAAATTCATAGGCAGGGACAAAATACTGACCTGGCCTGCCTTCCCCATCTCCCTCTTTCCCATTTTTCTGTCTCTTCATCTCTCTCTTCCCCTCTCCAAATCTACTCCACTCCTCTCCCTTGCTCCCTCCCCAACTGTCTCTCTCAATCTCCCTCTGTCTCTCCCTTCCTTCTCTCCATTTCGCTCTTCCTCTCTCCGTCTGTTTTCATTGATCTCCACTGCTCCCTCTCCATCTGTCTCTCTCCTTCTCTCTCATCCTGTTTTTGCTCCCAAAGACATTTGAAGCCAAAATCCACCACTTAGAGACCCGGCCCGCCCAGAGGCCAGTGGCGGGGAGCCCCCAGCTGGAGTACTTTGTGCGCTTCGAGGTGCCCAGTGCAGACCTGGCTGCCCTCCTCAGCTCTGTGCGCCGTGTGTCTGATGACGTCCGCAGTGCCAGAGAGGAAAAGGGTGAGGATGGGTTTCTGTCCCTGAGTGTGACCAAATACTCTTGAGGCCTGAGGGTTGGGAGGCAGAGTATCCTGCCAAGGGAGACCCTGAGGTGGTCCATAGAGCTGGTCTCCCTTTATCCTGGCTTCACCCTCCTTCTGGTTCTTTGCACACATTCCAGCAACCTCTGCCCTCTAGGAGGTCCCTAGGGGAGGCTGGACCGGGATTGCCAGAGCTTACCATGGGTCCATGCTCACCTTTGCCCGTTTTGCCTCTGTTGCTTGTGAAGTTCCCTGGTTCCCAAGGAAGGTGTCAGAATTGGACAAGTGTCATCACCTGGTCACCAAGTTCGACCCTGACCTGGACCTGGACCATCCGGTGAGCCCGCTGTTCTGACTGTGTCCCATAGCTGAGGCCTGGGGGGGGGGGGCACAGCGAGGGAGTGACCCTGGCCTGTGGGACAGGGAGAGCCCAGCTGCCTCCTGATGTGTGTCCCTCGGCCATCAGGGCTTCTCTGACCAGGTGTACCGCCAGCGCCGAAAGCTGATTGCAGAGATTGCCTTCCAATACAAGCAGTAAGGAGCCTGAGTGGGGGACCACATCCCCAGCCTGTGGGGGGTGGGGGAGGTGATTGGCCCCACAGCTTGGAATGTCAGCTGGTCTGTTTATGCTGTGGTGCACTGTGCTGGGCACAGCTAAGGAGACTGGGGCACAGAGATGCTAAGCAGGTCCCTGGGGTCAGTGTACCCCACCTGGTGCGTGCCGTACTCCAAAGGCCTCTGAACAGATGATGTTGCTTTAGGAGAAGTGTCTCACCCCATCTTTCCTACTCTCTGAGATGGAGGGGGGCTCTACTGACCATGAATCCCCTCCACAGGGGTGAACCAATTCCCCATGTGGAATACACTGCCGAGGAAATTGCTACCTGGTAAGATCCCCACCAGCAGATGGCTGGAGCAGGGCGGGGCTGGGCATGAGAAGGGCCTGGGACAGCTGTTCCGAGGGACAGCTCCCAGAATCCCTGTCTATGACGGCCACCTCTGGGAACTTTGGTACAACAGGAGAGACTAAGGCCAGTTAGAGGAGGGGCTTCTAGTGGCCTGGAATACCAGGTCATCAGAAAATGTCCCTGGTGGCCCGTTCCTAACCTCTGGGCTCTCTCCAACCACAGAAATGTCCTACCCATTGATGGAAGCCTGCAATTCAGGAGGATGATAAAACATCATCCATGGGGGTGGGGGATGGGGGGAGGGTGAGCAGGTAGGGTGGTCCTGGGGAGACCCCCGAAGCTGGCAGTTCCCTGAACCCCCTGTGGCCTGCAGGAAGGAGGTCTATGCCACGCTGAAGGGCCTCTACGCTACCCACGCCTGCCGGGAGCACCTGGAGGCTTTCCAGCTCCTGGAACGCTACTGCGGCTACCGAGAGGACAGCATCCCACAGCTGGAGGACGTGTCCCGCTTCCTGAAGGGTGCATATGCAGAGGAAATAGGGCAGGGAGGGGCATTCCCTCTGCCTTCCCTGATTCCCTGATTCTCTGTCTTGCAGAGCGGACTGGCTTCCAGCTGCGACCCGTGGCCGGCCTGCTGTCCGCCCGCGACTTTCTGGCCAGCCTGGCCTTCCGTGTATTTCAGTGCACACAGTATATCCGCCACGCCTCCTCACCCATGCACTCACCTGAGCCGTGAGTATGCCGCCTGGGGCAGGGGAGCCGGCGGAACTTGTGGCCCAGTGATATCTGTGCCCAATGATGACAGAGGTGTGGAGGGGCTAAAGGCTCCTTGTCCCTGGGTGGGGGCAGAGAGCCTGCCCGTCCCACCTTCCTTCTCTCCTGGCCTCACAGGGACTGTTGCCATGAGCTGTTGGGACATGTACCCATGTTGGCTGACCGCACATTTGCCCAGTTCTCCCAGGTACGTCTAGGGCCTCAGGGCAGAAACGGGGGAGGTGGGGGCTGGCTGAGACAGAGACTCACAAGTTTCACTTGGTGCGGCTCTCCTCCGGGCTAGACAGTGTGCCCTTAAGGGTTCATGGGACTTCCAGGTAATGAAACGCTGAAGTAGGAACAGTTTCCCCAACAGGAAAGGTCTGGCTCTGAATCCAAGTCCCAGGGGAGAGGGATTTCTATGGTTTGTGCTGCCATCTGCTGGTACTTCTGGGAACTGCATGTCCTGGGCTCTTGGCCGCCTTGGAAGGTCCATGACAAGTGTAGGTTGCAGAAACTCCTAGAGAGGTCTTCTAGCCACCTAGCTGATACCCAGTGCCCTTTCCTAAAGCACAATGCCAGAGTCTTTTCTTGCTTCAGCATACTTATCTATCCACAGGACATTGGACTTGCCTCTCTGGGGGCCTCAGATGAAGAAATTGAGAAACTATCCACGGTTGGTTTTCAGGGCCCTGGGGGCAGGGGTGGGGTGGGGTGGGGGAGACCTTTTTTATCTGTCCCCAAGAGCAGCCTTGCTTGTTGTTGGTGATGAGCTGTTGCGCACAGAGGGGATGTGCTTGGTAGCAGGTGTTTTTAGGTGATTCTGATGACTTGTGACAGGTGTACTGGTTCACTGTGGAGTTTGGGCTGTGTAAACAGAACGGGGAGCTGAAGGCCTATGGTGCAGGGCTGCTGTCCTCCTATGGAGAGCTCCTGGTGAGATTACCCCACTCCCATCCCCCAGCAAAGGAGATCAGGGCTGGAAGGTCAGGATGTGGGGGGCCCTGCTCCCATCAGAAGGGTTCTTGGCCCATGTCTGAGATTCAGGCTATTTTAGAGAATGTGTGTCCCTGTCCAGACCCCACTGTACACTGGCCCAGAACCCTTGTGGGAGGAGGGAGGCCCACACCCATAGCACTCAGTTGCCTTGAGCCCTTGGGTGTGATGCTTGTCGTCTCTCTCTAGCACTCCCTGTCAGAGGAGCCCGAGGTCCGGGCATTTGACCCGGACACTGCAGCTGTACAGCCCTACCAAGACCAGACCTACCAGCCGGTGTACTTTGTGTCTGAGAGCTTCAGTGATGCCAAGGACAAGCTCAGGTGGGTGAGGCCTTCAGGACTGAGCCCAGCATGCCTCACGTGTGCAAGCCAGGCCTTGTCTCCTCTTGAGAGAGCATTTTGAACCCTCAGCAACACCCCCTTGGAATAAGAGTACATGCTCCAAAAAGGAGCCCTGAGAGCCAGAGGAGAGGGAGGCTAGCAGCAAAACAAGGTCAAAGTCAGGTCAGGCCAGCCTCTGGCCTCAGCAGAGCCCAATTCTCTCATTTTCTCAGCACAGGTCCAGGTGAGATGGGGTCAGATAAGGGTGAACAAGAGGTGCAGTGGTAGCTAGGAGCTGCCATGGGGGCAGAGATTATAGAAAGAGTAGACAGCCCAAAGGAATTACACAGGGATCTGGAGGGGAGAGAAGAGACTGACTGGTAGGCTACACCAGTCTAGGGACTCTCTAGGGCACACTGTCAAGGAAGGCTTCCTGAAGGAAGAGGCCCAGATGAGAAATGGAGTGCTCTGCAGAGGCCTGCCTGCAAGATGTGCTGGGGCCTTTGCCTTTATCATGGCCTCTGGGGAGGCTTTAGTCTCCTGAGTGTCTAGAATAGGCTTTGGGGTTTCGGGAAACTCAGAAAAGCCATCGCAGATCCTATTCTGAGTCACCTGACTCAAGCCTGCCTTCTCATCCCCACATCCAATTTCCTGTGGTTGAAGGATTCATGCTGGCTTTTCTCCCCAGGAACTATGCCTCTCGTATTCAGCGCCCATTCTCCGTGAAGTTTGACCCCTACACGCTGGCCATTGACGTGCTGGACAGTCCTCACACCATCCGGCGCTCCTTGGAGGGGGTCCAGGATGAGCTGCACACCCTGGCCCATGCGCTCAGTGCCATTAGCTAAATGTAGAGCGTGCCAGCCACAGGTTCCAGGGGCCGTCCCCAAAGTCTCCGCCCCCTACTCCAACCTTCCCTGGCCCAGAGGCTTTCCCCTGGGTGTGGCCAGGCCATGGGTACTCCCAAAATCTGCTTGGGCCCTCTGACGTGCTTCCCCTGGACAACCCCCTGCTTCTCCGCCCTGTGTCTTACTACTGCATGCACTTCAGGGCGGTCCTGCTTTGCCCCCTGCCCTTCGCGCCGTAGACCACCCTGAGCATTATCTCAATAAAGGAAGGAAAGGTCTCTAGGAGTGCTCCTGGCCTCTTTGTCATCACAAAGATAGTAGCTGCCCTGGCTTCACTTGGACATTTAGAGGATTTCTCCCCCCCCCCCCCACTTCTCCCTTCCAATTCAGCCTTCTGAACGCTCCAGACTAGACAGAAGGTTCTGCTGTCATCTCCCTGTCAATTCTGAGCTCTTGAATAGTACTGGAGGTGGGAGGGAGTGTTGGACAAAACCCCAGATGAGCCCCAGAAGCATGGGGTAAAACCAAAACCCCAGGGCAGTGGGGGGTGACAGTAAGAGCTGTGCTGACTAGAGTATGGCTTCTGACAAGGCTTGAGGTCCAGGCCGTCTTCCTGTGTCCAGGAGTCTTAGGCACCAAGGAAACAGGCAGAGGGATGAAGGAGGCAGGCCAGACACAGCAACAGTGATGCCCCCTCCACATCGTACTTAATGAGTCCCAGGGGGAGGCTTATACCCCAGTGGAACTCTGTGAGATGTCTTATGCCCTGAAAATTGCCGAGGAAGATCTTTAACTTAAGTGAGACCCTGGGAAACACCATAGGTTCTAGTGAGACCCTGGGAAGATCGTAGGTCCCATTGAAACCCAGAGAAAACCTTAATTTGTTATAATAGGGAAGATGTTAGGCCTCAGTGAGATCCTATGGGAGGCTTTTGTGCCATTGAGACCCTGGCAAGGTCTTAGTTTCCAGTGAGGTCCACAGTCAAGCCATAATCCACAGTGAGATCCTGTAGAAGGAAGGTCTTTTGCCTTCTTGAAGACCCAGGGCAAGATTGTAGGCCAGAGTAGTATCTTGGGGAGAAGGCCTTAAGTCCCAGTGAGACATTTGGAAGGCCTTCGGCCTTAGTGAGAGCCTTAGAAGATCTTAGGCTACAGTGAGATCCTGAGAAAGGCATTTTGGCTTATGTCAGACCCCAGTGAGACCTTACGTGAAGGTTCAGTGAGAACCTAGGAAGGTCTTAACACAGAGAGAAGATCTTTGGCCTTAGTGAGAGCATGGAAGAAGGCTTTAGGCCTCTGGGAAACTCTGGAAAGCCTTATCCCCAGTGAGACCCTGAAGAAAGCCTTAGGCTCCAGGGACACCTAGGACAGGCTCCACTGAGACTCTAAGAAGTCTTTGTCCCACTGAGAATGTAGGATAGTCTGAGGCCCTTATTAAGCCCTGGAGAAGACTTTAGACTCCAGTGAGACACTGAAGAAGGTTCTGGTGAAATCCTAGGACAACTTTAAGCCTTAGTGAGAACATCTATAGAGCCTTTAGACTCAGTAAGATCCTAGGGCAGCAGTACTCAACCTGTGGGTTGAGACCCTTTGGGGCTCAAATGACCCTTTTATTGGGGTTTCCTAAGATCATTAGAAAACACAGATATTAAAGTTACAATTTGTAAGAGTAGTAAAATTACAGTTATGAAGTAGCAATGAAATAATTTTATGGTTGGGGGTCACCACAACATGAGGAACTATATTAAAGGGCCCCAGCATTAGGAAGGTTGAGAACCACTGCCTTAGGGGAAGGCTTAGTCTACAGTGAGATTCTAGAGAAGGCCTTAGGCAATAGTGGGACACTGGGGAAGGCGGTAAGCCCTGGTGAGACCCTTGAGAAAGCTTTAAGCAACACTGTGACACTGGAGAGAATGCTAGGCAACAGTGAAACTTTGAGGATGGCCTTAAGCCTCAATGGGTAGGCGTTAAGTCCCAGTAATAACCTAAGGAAAGTATCATAATCCAGTGAGAACTTGAGGAAACTCTCTGGCCTCAGTAAAAGCCTAAGAAAGACCTAAGGCCTTACTAAGACCCTGGAGAAGGCATAAGTGAAACCAAGTGGAAAGACATTGTAAGATGCTGAGAAAGATAGTTGGCCTCTGTGAGACCCAGGGAAAATCTTAGCCTCCAGCAAGACTGTGGGAAAGACCTTAGGCATCAGAGAGATCCTGAAAAGCCTCAGGCCACAGTTGAGATTCAGGGAAGGCCATACACGCTGCTGAGATCCAGGAAGGGTCTTGGGCCCTTGTGAGACCCTGGAGGAGGATATAGGTCCCACTGAGACTACAGAGAAGCCCTTAGGGCTCAGTGAGAGTGAGCATGGGAAGATATTAGGTCCACCTTCAGAGCCTATGAAGATTTTAGGCCACAGTGAGAGTCTGGAAAAGGCCTTAGGCTCCAGGAGATCCAGGAAGTGCCTCAGGTTGCAGAGGGGAAGGATTTAGATCACAATGAAACTCCATGGAAGGCCTGAGGCTCCAGTGATACCCCTAAAAAGATCTTTAGCCTTGGTGAGTCCTTAGCACATTCTCTGTGGTCGTTTAAATGAGACATGTCCTCCATATCTGAGGCATTTGGATACTTGGTACCTAGCTGATGGTGCTTTTGGGGAAGATTTAGGAAGTATGGCCTTGCTGAAGAAAGTATGATACTGGGGCAGGCTCTGAGAGTTAAAAAACTTTGCCTACTTCTAGTTTATGCTCCCTACTCTTGCTTGTGGTTGAGGGCGTGAGCTTGCAGCTTCTTGCTCCAGCTGCTATGTTTGCCTGCTACTGTGCCTTCCCAGTGTGATGATGATGAGCTCTTAGCTCTCTGGAACCTAAGTCCTAATCATTCCTTTTTCTATGTTACCTTCATCATAGTGTATTTTATTATAGTAAGGGAAAAGTAGCTAATACACCTTTATTTCCATTTAAGAACATAGGAGGTTCTGAAGCACCAGAGAGATGCTGAAGAAGGCTTCTGGACTTAGTAAGACCAGTGTGAGGGAAGAAGGGGATGGGGGATCTTTAAGGCCAAGGAGAAATCTTAAGAAGACTTAAGCAACAGTGGGACCTTGGAAAGGACATAGACCATAGTGAAACACTATAAGAGGTATTAGGCCAAGAGAAACCCTAAAAAAAAATATTCTTGCCTAAGAAAGACCCACAGGAAGACCATAGGTCTCATTAAGACACTGGATAAGGATGGACAACCCAAATAAAATCCTGAAGAAAATCTTAAGACCTTGAGAACCTAGGGAATGCTGTAGGTCCCAGCGAGAAAGGGGAAGAAAGCCTTAGACCCCAATGAGAACCTGGGAAGGGTCTTAGGTACCAGTGGGAGCCTGAGGAAAGCCTTAGGCCCCAGTGAGAACCTAGGAAAAGTCCTTAGGCCCCAGAGAGAATTTGAGGAAGGTTTTAGACTCCAGTGAGAACCAGGGGAAAGCTTTAGGCTCCCATAGAGAATCTGAGAAGGGCCTCGGGACACAGTGAGAAACTCTAGAAAGCTATAGGCCTTAGGGAGAAGCTGGGAAAGCCTTAGACTACAGTGAGAACCTGGACCCAGTAAGAATCTAAGGATGGCCTTAGACCAATTGAAAACCTGAAAAAAAAAGTCTTAGAACTCTGTGGAAAACTTAGACCCCAGTTAGGACCTGGGGAAGACCTTAAGACACAGTGAGGATGTGAGGAAGGCCTTGGGCCATAATGAGAACCTAGGAATGCCTTCAGACCTTAAGTGGAGACCTAAGAAAGGCCTTAGATCTAGTAAGGCCCTGGGAAGATTTTAGCCCCAGTGAGAAACTAGGGAAAGTTTTAAGGTTTCAGTGACAATCCGGGAAGCTCTTAGGCACTAGTGAGACTCAGGAAGGTCTCATTAGACCTATTGAGAACCTAAAGAAGACCTTAAGCCCCAGTGAGAATGTGGAAAAGGTCCTAGGCATGAGTGAGATTGAGGGGACCATCTTAGGTCCCATTGAGACCTAGGGAAAGCCTTACTTACCAATGAAACTGGGTAAGGCCTTAGCCCCCAGTGAGAACCTGAGCACAACCTTAGATCCTGGTGAGAATCTGGAGAAGGCCTTAACTCCAGTGAGAATCTGGAGAAGGCCTTAACTCCAGTGAGATAATGGGAAATTCTTAGACCCCCATTGAAAACCTGGGTAATTTTTTAGATACAGTGAGAACTTGGAAAAGCCTTGACTCAAGGGAAAACTGGGGAATGAGAGCTGAGGACTGTATTAGGCACCAATGAGAAACTAGAGAAGGCCCTAAGACCCAGTGAGAAACTGTAGAAGATGTTGGGCCCCTGGGAGAATTTAGAAAATAACTTAAGACCCAGTGCACAATGTAATAAATGCCGTAGGCATCAGTGAAAACTTGGGAAAGTCCTTAGGTTCCAGTGAGACATGGGAGAAGTCTTAGGCGTCAGAAAGACCCTGGGAACTACCTTAGGTCTCAATGAGAACCCTGTGGAAGGCTTTGGGCCACAATTGAGAACTGGCTAAGTTCTTAGGTCCCAGTGAGATTCTGGGAGAGACCTAGACCAATTGAGACTCTGAGGAAGGTAATTGGCTCAGTGAGAACATGGTGAAGGCCTGAGGCCTCGGTGAGAATCTTGTGAAGGCTTTTGGCCACAGTGAGAATCTGGAGAAAGCCTTATGCCCTAGTGAGAAACTAAGAAAGGCCTTATACCCCAGTGAGTACCCAGGAAAGGCCTTAAGACATAGTAAGACCCAGTGAAAACTCTTAAGATCAAAAGAGAACCTGGAAAGGTCTTAGGTCCTGGTGAGAACCTGGGAAATGCCTTTGAGCACAGTGAGGATGTGGTAGGGCCTTATGGTCCAGTTAGAACCTCGCAAAAGTCTTATGCCTCAGTGAGACCATAAGAATACTTTAGGCCACAGTGAAATCCTGGGGAAACCTTAGGCCCCATGAGAATCTCAGAAAGGCCTTATGCCTCAGTGAGAATGTAGGCAAAGCCATAGACCCCAGAGAGAACCTGTGAAAGGCTTTAGACACAAGTAAGACCCTATAAAGGGGTTAGGTCCCATGAAAGCCTAGAAAAGCTTTAGGCCACGGTTAGAATCTGTGTGATGCATTAGCCTCCTCTGAAACCCTGGGTTTATCAGTAGGCCTCACTGGAAGTTTAGGGAAGGCCTTAGACTTCAGTGAGAAGCTGTGAAAGCTTTAGGCCCTGTAATGGTTTGAATAAGAATGATATCTGCTACTAGGAGTCTCCGCTGCAGTCCCCC